CTCAGTCCGAACCCGAGAGGGAACCAGATGAGACTTCCGCCAGTTCACCAGGAACCCATACCCGGCAAACTGGGAAAGAACCAAATCCCTGGCGAGCAGATACGCGGACTGGCTGGGAGCCCAGAAGACCTCAAGACCTAAGAGACGCAGATGGGTCACCACGAGCCGGGTAAGGCATGTGAACACAAGGTGCCAGATTCAACCCGAATGGGAGACAATGAAGACGGTAACCGAGACGCCCCACAACAACCCGAGCCAATCTCTGAACCCCAGAAGAATCAGGACGCGCCCATACGCGTCCTGGAGGTCCAGAAACACCATCCAAGTGCCTAGTTCCAACAGAAGCCAGATCTGGGACAGAGTAGTCATCTGAAAAGAGGTGCAAAAACCCAGGGTTCAGACAGGACAAGTCCAGAATGAACTGCAGGTCTGCACAATCCCATTTCGGGACTGGGAACAGATGGGAAAACCACCTGAGAGCAGACCCAGGAACGGCCCCAAGCGCCTCCACGTCCTCCTGAAACCAATTCGAAGATAGCATTGTCGTCTCGACCACGCCCAAGCGTACACATTGAGATAACCCGAGGAGAAGAGGATGAGCAGAGATGAGACCCCACCCTGCCAGTCCTGAACCCCTGGAATAAGGAGGGACCACCCAATGCCACCGCAGGCCGCCGGAAACAACCTAAAAAGCCTACAAATCATGAGACCAGGCGTGAGCAAACAGAGCGAGCCCCTCCCCCATCGCCCCGTCAATGGGGCAAACCGCAAAAGGGCCTACGCCCCTTACGAGAACGCGACTTTCCCACAAAGCAATCATCTCGCTGACCAGTAGAAGATGGGTCCGAAGGCGGCACCAACCCAGAAACTGGCTCCAGCACCCTACCACGATGAGAGGAACCCCAAGCCAAGGCACGACCCTTCCAGGAAAAATGCCCCCTCCCCTCCCCGGGACCCCCAAAGAACCAATAAGTCCTCCAATGGATAACTAGAAGAAGTTGCTTGCAGAAACTGCCCAACCGCAGACTCTGCAAACAGCAAAGGGCTAGTTGGCGGCGAAAACTTAAGAGCCAGGGCCCCAGGCAGATTCCAACGAGGAAGCAAGCATCACTAGCCAAGACACGAAGCAAAAAACTGTGATGCTGCATCCCACAGGATCAGCACAAACAGCTCCAGCAGTGCAGATGACACAAAAACGCAGCCGAGACCAAGGCACCAGACCCAGGAACGGCCCCAAGCGCCTCCATGTCCTCCTGAAACCAATCCAAAGATAGCTCCAGGAGGAAAAAGAACCGCAAGACCGAAGCCAGCAGGCCACGAGCGCGCAAGCCCTCAGCCACCAGTGCAGCCAAAAGGGAGGGGGACCTGCACTTGAAGCTGAACTACGCCAACATTCCACTGAAGGGCAGGGGCAAACAACACGTAATGAGGTGCTCGAATACGCTCACCAGGTAAACCTGGACTACCAATAACGCCTTGCACCACTCAAGCTTGTGGTACGGCAAAGTACTCCAAGCATCTAATGAACACACAGGGCAGTCCGCTAGCCAGGATAACTCCGGAACCTCATAACGAACCCAGAACAGAGACGAAGACCCAAACGTGAATGAAGACAGATCCATTAGAAAGGCATAATCCGGGTCGCGCAGAAGGTAAGCCGCAATGGCCACCCGCACCTCAGGCGGCGAGATGCGGGAAGCCGAAAACCTCTGAAAGGACGGAATCGATGGACCGAAAGGGACACGAACTGAACCCCGGGAAGGGGCAGACACCAATCCAACTCGTATGCAGAAGGGGGAAGAAAACCCCACTTCATGTAACAGTAAGCCCTGCTCGGAGTTTTGGAAAACCCAGGCGGGGCCCAAAGCCCCCAAGTCAGCCCCTCCCCAGCCCCGGGAACCACCACATGAGGACCGGGGCGGAGTCGTCCCCCAAAGCCCCGGCCTCAAAAGAAAAGACCGGCGCAGCTGAGGAAGCCAAAAGGAAGGGTCAGTGATCAGACCCAAACCCCCTGCCATGCAGACCCTTGCTACCGGACACAGCACATGATGCACCTCCCAGCCATGCAGAGACCAACCACCGGACACAGCACGTAATGCACCCCCGGCCAAACCAACAAAACATCAATAACCAAAGGATCTCTCTGGAAGCCAACTGACTCATCCTTCACCAGATAAGGAGCAGGTTCCAAATAAAGTGCCAACCAGGGCCTGCTTGATACCTGCTTGATGGGGTTCAGGGAGTTGTTCTACTCCACAAGCCAGGTCCAAGGCCAGGCTTGATTTGTGAGAGCTTGGTCCAGCAGGCTGTTGCTTTAAATGGTCCACAGGCCCACACATCAACCACAGACCGGTTGGTCCAGCACTTCTTTGAAGAAAACTATCTGGTCTTCTCTTGATGTCCACGGATGTTCCAGCATTATTTCTTAATACTGTACTCGGTGGGAGGATGTTAAACAACCATAGACCTCTGATATTTATTCAGTATTCTCTGACTGTGTCTCTGGCACCCCTGCTCTTCACTGGCTCTATTCTGCATTGTCTTCCATATCGTTCACTCCAATATGTTGTTATTTACAGTGTAGATTTTGTACCTGGCCCTCCAGTATTTTTCATGTATATATTATTTGATATCTCTCTCGTCTTCTTTTAAGAAAGTACATTTGGAGAGCTTTGAAACGATCCCAAAAATTTAGGTGCTTTATCGCATCTATGTATGCCGTATATGTTCTCTGTACTCCTATTTCAGCAATCTCTCCTCCTTTGAAGGAGTGAGTACCAAGTAGTACTCAAGACGAAAGAGCACAAGTGATTTGAATAGTACAACCATTGTGATGGGATCCCTGGATTTGAAAGTTCTTGTAATCCATCCTATTATTTTTCTGGTTGACACAATATTTGCGTTGTTATGCTCCCTAAACGTTAGGTCATCAGACATCATTATTCCAAAATCCTTTACATGTTGCTTTCCAACTATGGGCCGATTTGATTGCATTTTGTACCCTGTATCATGTTTAACCACTGTGATGTGCCGAATTTATTATGACATCCCTCCCCCGTGCGCATAAAATCAAGTGTTTGCAAAAAAAAAAAAAAAATTACTTTGGATTTGGGAATATGGAGAAGGGGAAATCACGGGCTGGTCTCCCGTGCGCGGAAGCTCCCAGATGAGGTTGCGCAGGCCATTCAAGCACTGGGTGTTGCCACAAATATATTTTCAATTATTTGTTCTATGTATTTCCAATGTGGTTTTATTTTATTTTTTTTTATTGTATATGATGCATATTTGTGACCTTTACAATATGTATACAGTAGAACATTCATAATGTTCCATGGAACTATGATACATGTGTCAGTAATGTGTCATCAATAAAGATTTATTGTAGCAATATTACATGTTAAAAATTCTCTAAAATTACAATATGTACAATTTCACACACTATTTACACAGTAACACACTGTATTACACTTAGTAGTTCAAAAGCATGTAATAATCAACGAAGTAGTCCATGGTACACTGCGCGACTTCGCTCTCATTGCACCAGGTATAGATAGATTTTCGCTTCCTGTTTCTTCGTTCTGGGTGTTTGCAATAACACACTCACGTACACCCTTGGTTTTAGTATGTGTAGGTGGTATATAGCCAAGCTTGTTAAGCATAAGGTAGTATTGAAAAGATTTTAGGAAAAGATCAATTTGTAAGGTAGCCTTGAAAAGATCGCTTTGTAAGGTATTCTGGAAGAGATTCGGTCAACCAGGAAGAGATTCGGTCAACCAGGAAGAGATTCAGTCAATCAGGAAGAGATTCAGCCATTCTGGAAGAGATTCAGCTATTCTTGAAAATATCTATGGAAAACACCACCATGGAAGCCACTAACACTGTTCATCTATGCTACTTGTATCAAATGCATCATCACTGAACCTAGATAATGATTCATCTATGTATCATCTATACAAATTGGAGTAGTATTGGTGAGCAAGGGTGGCGCTCAAAGCTACAACTGGATACACTCGCTGTATCATCCTCATCTCAGTTGTATCACTTGCATCTGACCTTTGAGTTATGTCTTTATTGTGCCTAGCTTGATCAATATCATGAGCCTTTTGTTCTTCAAACAATAATGTCTGAATTTCACTGACAGTGAGCGATCTTTCAACACCATGTCAGACAAGTGTTTGGGAGTCAGAGGCACGTGCGCCACCCATGGTTACTCACTCAGCACTAACCCAGCCAGCAGCCATAGGGTATTCTGGGGATTTTTTTCCAAGATGGCTGCCTCTCATTGGATGTTCAAAAGAGTCCATTTCGTACACAACCAACCGCACACACATTTTGAATGGGGTACGAAATATTCAAAAGGTGTTATCTCAGTATACCAGTAAACTATACTGGCTTCTTAGAATTTCTCTAATTTCTTTGTTGTCTATGTACGTACCTTTGGTTGTAATTAAAGGTCCAATAATCGAATCGGGAGAAAAATGAGTGACAAGAGGTTCAGTCATTGACGCACGAAAGTGTTAAAGGTCCAATACTGGCTGAGGTTTTTGATTTTGATTCTGCATATGTGAAAAAATATTTTGGATTTTCCTTTATCTCTTGTATACCTTTCTGTTCCAATTCCATTTCCTCAGACTGAGAGCCAAACAGAAACCTCACCTCCAGAAGAGAGCATGAAGCTCCCCAGCCAGACAACTAGAGGCAAGTGACACCAAAATAAAGCCTTGGAGAAACAATCACGGACCAATGGAGACATCGTAAAACAAAACGAGAAAAAGTTTTCAGGGCCGATATTGTATACCTCACTGAATCTCTGGATGCAATACATCAGGGCTGGTCTTGTATAGCTTGCTGAATTAAGGTTGCACTGTACAGTACTATATTATATATATATAAATCCCATTTTAGAATGGCTTCAAACATATGTATGGTGTGTTAAATACATGGGGTAATTATTCTATTTAATCTCTAACAACAACAAGAGAAGATGGCTGCATACTGACCTGGTGAGGTGCGGAGTGATGCATGACAGAGTGCGGAGGATGTGTCATGTGCGGAGGACCAGCAACAGTAGCAGTCGCTTGGAGGTGTGACTGAGGGTGTGTTGGTCCTCCATGGTGGCCACCATGTGGCCCACCATGAGGTCCGCTGTGTGGACCACTGTGAGGTCCGTTGTGTGGCCCACTGCTGCTGTTACCACTGTGTAGTCCCATATGTGGCCCAGAATGAGGACCACCATGGCTATGTGGACCACCATGGGGGCCCCCATGAGCACCAGAATGTGGCCCACCATGTGGCCCTGAATGGGGACCAGAGTGTGGACCAGAGTGTGGACCAGAGTGTGGACCAGTGTGTGGGCCAGTGTGTGGAGCAGAATGTGGGCCAGTGTGTGGAGCAGAATGTGGGGTAGTGTGTGGGGCTGAATGATGAGGGCCATGATGAGGTGCATGAGATGGGTGAGGGCCATGATGTGGGGCCTGAGCAGGATGATGGGCCGGGTGATACTGTGAGTGAGGGGGCCCTGTGTGAGGTGGAGGACCTGTCGGGGGAGGTTGGGGAGGCCCACTGGGGTGGTGTGGAGGGGGACCAGGATGGTGTGGGCCTGGTGGACCATGGTGGTGGTGAGGGTGGTGAGGGTGGTGGTGGTAGGGAGCATTGAGAGAGTGGTGGTCCGGACCAACACCTGAGTCTGGGTGACTCATGGCCTGAGTCATCACAGCCATCCCACCAGCGGGAGCCATCATGGGCGCCATGCTCACCAAACCTATAATATTAAACAATAACTGAAAATGTCATATTTTAAATGTTATAGTAGTTAGATATACAGTATACTGTACATCTTTATAAACTGCAATTCTAAGTAAATGTTTTAAACTTTACATACCTTGTGGCTACCATGTGAACCTACCGGGGATCAATGGCCCCATGGCCCGGTCTCTGACCAGGCCTCCTGATTGGTTGTCTGGTCAACCAGGCTGTTGGATGCAGTTGCTCGCAGCCTGACATATGAATCACAGCCTTGATGATCAGTAGTTTTTAGAGGGTTTGTCGAATACTCTGTTGAACATTGTGAAAGGCCAGCCAGTTATGCTCCTTATGCGTAGTGGGAGTGTGTTTAAAAGTCTTAGGCCCTTTATGTTGGACGAGTTTTTCCTCAGCGTACCTATTGCACCTTTACTTTTCAACGGGGGTATTCTACACATCCTGCCATGCCTTCTGGTCTCATGTAATGTAATCTCCATGTTCAGATTTGGAAGCAGTCCTCCTCTCATATCTACCATGTGCTGATTATTATTACCCCTTAAACTGTGCAACACTTCATACCAAGTGTTGAGTAACTGACGAGAAAATGCGCACCCCTTAATGTGACATTTTGGAGTACTGCGCAAGATTTAAACAGCCAGCGGCTAAACAAGGACCACATCAGTTTCCTCAGGGCTCTTGTAAACAGACACCATTTTAACACTTTCGCCAGGGCATGACGCAGCATTGCGTCATCCGTTTACTGTCGGTAATGCCGGGGATGACGCAGCATTGTGTCATCCACTTTAAATAATCGCCAAAAATCAGGTTTTTATCCAATTTTTTTGGGACTGGTTTTAAAACGCGCGCCGATGTCTTCCCATTTTCTTTGTTGAGCCTCGTGGCCCTCAGGCGGCTTGGCACACGCCGTGGGTCCATTGTTTTCGCTCCACTGTTGTGACCACTGTCGCCTCCCCTCGCATCTCAAACGTGTGAACATTTCGGCTATTTTCCGTGGCTATATTTCTTACTGCGGCTTTAGAAACTATCTACGCTTACTCCACGATGGATAGTGATCATGAACAAGGCCCTTCCAGGACGAAAATTGCGAAAGAAAGGCTTGAAAAGGGCGGGAATTGGGAGTGTAGCTGGAAGGCGTCTGAGCGCTCACTCGCGGCTAACGTGTGGCCCGTCTTCAACTCGTCGGCGGTTGGAGTGTGACCAGGTTTTTTATTTTATATGCTAATGTTCCTCTAGAGAATTCTATTGCGAACCCATTGAGACCAAAATGAAAGACCTAGGACGAAAATTGAGGTGACCAGAGTGAAAATAGTGAAAACATTTTATCGCGTTTGCGCGCTTCTGGGAAACTCGTTCGCACTTTCTCTGTTTGCTGCGGGTAATTAGCCGGGCTTTTGGAGTTTATATGCATTTAGTGCTGTAGAGAATTCTATTGCGAACACAATGATACAAAATTTAATCTTGTAGGACGAGAATTAAGGTGACAAAGTGAAGAGAGTATACACTTTTCAGAATTTACGCGTGCTCCCATGACACCCTGGGTCCCATATCGCACAGTTGAGGGGTGGCGCGCGGGGTGCGCCAAAGTGTTAAAAAAAATCCTGGGCAACATTCCCGGGTGTGAAAGCCTCAGTACTCAGTGAGCCACCATGTACTGAGGCTACATGGTAGCTGGCACTTGCAGCATGAGCTCACAGCACTGCTGTTCAGCTTGTGATCACAGCATTGCCTCAAAATGTCAAAAAAACAGCGTTGAATGTAATGAAACGCCATTTTCTGGGTGAGTCCCGGAGGCTCCTCGGAGCTATCTATGGCTGATATGGATACCCTAACTATTTTACATCAGTCGATGTGGGTGGAGTTCTAGTCCTACCGGGGACCACGAGCCAGAACCTGGCCCCCTCAGAGAGGCACGGGGAGCAATGGCCCATAGAATTGCACATGTGATTTGGAGCATTCTATATCTGCCATCGACCGGGACAGGCACCCAGAAAGATAAGCGCCACAAAACAAACCACTATTCTGGTTAACAACAAAAATCGACAAACGAGTGGACAGAACTCCCCCAGGAAAACGAACTAACAAGCATGACGTCACACGAGCCGCGCCGCATGTCTGCGCAGCTCCCCCCTCCCCGGGAGGGGGAAGTGGGAGCCCCAGACCCCCGCGCCGGCAATCCCTGCCCCAGTTCTGAGGCTGGATGTCAAAACCGCGAAAAAAACGCCGACCGGAGGGCGGGAGGGTGCCGGGAAGCCTCCGGGACTCACCCAGAAAATGGTGTTTCATTACATTCAACGCTGGCTTTCTGGGGGAAGCCCCTACGGCTCCCCGGAGCTACTTCACCAAAGACTACCTAAGAAAACAAGGGGACATACCCGGGAGGCGGTCGGCGCACCACTCCTCAACACGAAGTCGAGACAGGAACCCAAGGACCCGTCCAGAAAGCAGCAGGCACATCTTTCACCAGAAAAAGGGAGACAGCCGCAGACGAAGAAAACTATGACCACGACCATAGGAGCCAAAAACCATGCGCCTGAGAAGAGCATGAAGCTCTGCCACACGACCCCCAGAGGCCAATGCCAACAGAAAAAGAGAGTCGTAGCAAAGCTAACCAGAACCGAAGGAGCCACAACAAACCAAGGAGAAGAAAAACAGGAGAGCACCCTGTCCAAAGACCAGGACGGCACAGGCAGTGCATGAGCAGGCCGGAGGTGAAACAACGCACGAGACAGCCTGCGAAACGGTGCAGAGGGAACACCGATACAGAAAGTTAGCAGCAGAAACCAAGGCGCCAGACCCAGGAACGGCCCCAAGCGCCTCTACATCCTCCGCAAGCCAATCCTATGACAGCCCCAGGAGGGAAAAGAAACGCAGGACCAAAACCAAAATGCCACAAGCGTGCAATTCCACCGCCACAAGTGCGGCCGACAGGGAAGAAACCCGCACAAGGAGCCGCCCCGCACCAACATCCCGCAGAAGGGCAGGAGCGAAAAGACACTCATTAAGATGAGCAAAATCTCCCCCAGGAAAACAAACAGTGCCGAGACAGTACTAAGAGAAGAGATATGAACAAAAGAACAAGAAGGCCAAACACCCAGAAGCTGCCTGGAATAGGACCCACAAGCCCTAGAAAGGACCGGAGGGAAGCCCCACCGAACGACGACAGACGTACCAGAAAACGGAAAGGAGCAAAACCGTCCCGAACCTTCGAGAACAAAAAAAGCAAACACAAAGGACGAAGGCACAAAAACCCCGTCGCACCCGAGACCAAAAGTCATGCAGAACCCCAAGAAGAAGGGGACATGATGGAGAAGGCCCGTCCCGGAAAAAAGGGGCGAAGACCATAGAAAAGCACCCACCGACCGGATGGAAGCAACGGGCATAATGGACAAAGAAACCGAGCCCAGGGAGGGGCCAATGCCCAAAAAGCTCGTGTGGAGAGAGGGGAACAGAAAAACCTCACTCCACAAAACCACAAGACCCGGTCAGAGCGGTAGAAAAACCCTGGCAGGGACCAACGGGGCCTGAGGCCCACCACGTTAGCCCTACCCCAGCCCCAGGAACCCACCCTGCAGGTCCCGGAGCCGAGCTGTCCCCCCAAAGCCCCAGCATCAAGAAAAACCCCGGAGCAGCAGTGAAAAACACTAAGGAAGGGAGCCCACTGGGCTCTGGAACCTGAACCGAAACCGAATGATAGGCGAGGGGCGAGACAAAGACCCCACGCTCATCCCCGGCACAACGAGGACAGGACAGAGAATCCAAGGAACATGGAAAAACCAGGCCTGGCACAGCAAAACCGACAAGGAAGGAGGGCCCCAGAGGGAGCACGGAAGGGCCGAACAAAATGCCATAACCAAACCCCTACACGCAGCCGCAGTACCAAAACTGCAGCAAAAGAAACCGAGTACCCCACCGAGCCACAGGGACGGTAGTAGAAACGTGTGCAGTGTAACAGGCAAACGAAGGAACACATTAGGCAGCCCAACTTGGGCTGACCCCATACACAGCCCCAAGAGCAGAAACAAGAGCGCTCATGAAGCACAGAATCCACACGTCAGGCGAACGACAGGGGAGAGGCGGAACCAAAGAGCCAGAACCCAATCCCGCAAGCACAAGGCGGCGAGCACAAAACACCCTCGACACAGGAAAACGTACCACCGAACAGGCACCCCCCACCGTAGCACCGTGGAACAAGGTGGAGGCGGGGCCCCGAACTCAAGCAAGGTTAGACAAGCATAGGAGAGGGGCAGGATGAGTACAAGCAGGAGCCGCCTCGGAAGGGCCAAGAGGCCACCAGCAGTCACCCGTGAACCGAGGAAGGAATCGGGTGGTGAGAACAAGAGCTGCCCTGAATGGGCCAATAGCACTGCAGTAGGCACCTCGGTTGTTACGATCCACGTTCTCAAGCATGTATGTACACCCATTCCTACTCCCAAAAACAAAAACAGCGTCAGGACAAAGGAGACGCCAGATCACACCAACTCACCTGCAGAACATAGGAGCTGAAGGGCCATGATGAGAGACGTTCCTATGAGAACGTAGCCGCCAGAGGCGGCCAGGGCGCCCATGCCGGAGAGGAGGAGGGGGAGCGGCGAAGGAGGCTCCCCCACCCTAAACTGCAGGGAAAAACCTTGTGACTTCCCAACAGCGGCACCCCAGAACACCCCCAAAGCAACGGGGCACGGACTAGAGAAAGAAAGAGCGAGAGGCGAAGCCCCTCTCGCTCTCCCCCCCCCCCCCCCCCCCCCCCCCCCCCCCCCCCCCCCCCCCCCCCCCGGAGAGAGAAAGGACCAACACGTGTGCACACCGCCCGGAACCAAAACAAACTCCCACAGCGCATGCGCAGGACACAAAAGAAAAGTAGCCCAACAAGGCGAGAAGCAGCCCAACCAACGAGAAGCAGCCCAACCGTCGACCAGGAGCCCAACCGGCGACCAGGAGCCCAACCGGCGACCAGGAGCCCAACCGGCGACCAAGAGCCCAAACGGCGACCAGGATCCC